CACCATTGCAATAAACCTTTTCAAGTGTACATCTTTTTAATTATTTTTAACCTGTTGAACAAAAAAAAATTCCACCAAAGGATGAAGGTATTTTGACAAATTTTTCTACAACACAAGTCTGTTTGGCCACATACCAAGAAAGACATGCAAAGTTGACCTGATAGCCCCCACGGTACCTACCAATTTCCATGGTTGCTCGATGCTGTTATACACAAGCATACCAAACAATTAAGACTTTGTCTAAAATGGAAATAAACAAAATCAAGCTTATGATGCCATCTTTAACTTTAAAACGTCTTCCGCAGAGTTAACCGCAATAATTCAACATCAGTCCACTTTCCATGGAATTCAATTACAGCAATGCTAATACATTTCGAAAATCAAACAGGACAATTCCCAAAATCTGCAAATTCAAACATGGCACATTCGCACCCCTTTTCAGAAATTCGAAAACATTGATTCCCATATTCAAAACCTCAATCTACATTTCCAATATTCGTCATCCTTAGACTGCATCACCCAACCTGCTAATATATTTCCTGCCCTGCTTGCATGCCATAATTTGGCTGACAATCAGCTGGCGGCCATGTTTTCTACATCACTTCAGTTCCTGAAATTCTGGAAGCTTGCCATCCTGCGGTGCCAGTGAAGCGCGAGGCTGTTTATGGTTGGCTGAACACAGAAGAAGTAGAATTACCTCTGGTGTGGAAAGGCTCACTGAACCGAACATAGACAAGATACAAATCCATATTCATTGGCAGGGAGGGACTGAGACGATGCTGGGGAACCTAAGAGGGGGGTCAGGGATGGAGGAGGGGGTGAGGTAAGGAAGAGGGGGGTGAGGGGAGAGATCATTGGAAATAGAAGGAATTATTGTTATAATTGAGGTCAATAAGCTAAAAGGTTTAATAGAATAGACGAAGTATGTATTTACTCAGGGGAAAGGAATATTGTATGCTGTCATTCGGTTGGGGTAAAAGATTAATTGCACTGTAGCTCACCTACATAAAAGGTTATTGATTGTTTGTTTGACACAGTGACGTGGATATTAGGACTAACAAAAGTTTGCTTGTTTGTTTGTTTCATGCCTCACACTCGGGATATTCCAGCTATGTAGCGGTCTGTAAATAATCGAGTCTGGGCCAGACAATCCAGTGATCACCAGCATCAGCATCGATCTACGCAATTAGGATACGATGACATGTGTCAACCAAGTCAGTGAGCCTTACCAACCAATCCCGTTAGTCACCTCTTAAGACAAGCAAGGGTAGCTGAAGACCATCTAACCCGGATTTTCACTGTTATTGTGGATATAGTGTTGCAACCAACAGGAACTTAAAATAACTTTTGCCCAATTTTTAAGACCTACACCAGTGTTTCTACTTCACAAGAATCACATTTAACTGTAAAAAATATTCTTTTGTCCACTGGGAATGATTATTTCAACTTCTGTTGAGTAGTACACACTGTATATAACAATGGGGCGGTGGGGTAGCCTAGTGGTTAAAGCGTTGGCTCGTCACGCCGAAGACCCGGGTTCGAATCGCCACATTGGTACAATGTGTGAAGCCCATTTCTGGTGTCCCCCGCCGTGATGTTGCTGGAATATTGCTAAAAGCGGTGTAAAACCAAACTGTCAGTCAGTCAGTGTATATAACAAAATTATGTTGGCAACTTTCAGACAATCCTTAAAATACTTTCCAAACAGTGGAAGTAAGAAAAGGGAGGTAACTGATGCTGTCTGTCAAATTTCCAACAGAAAGATTGTCATACCCCACAGGAAATTTTATATGAGGCTAAATTTTTTAGGATCTTTTTTAAGAAAAAACCTCAAACTCTCTTCCTCATGATTGGTTGCAATCCAACAATCTCATAAATGTTTGGACATTTCTTAGTCTCTTGAGACATTTGTGTTAATTTTACTCAACACGAATCGCCAACAATTACAAGTTACAAGTCGCTAGGTCCCTCATGTCGTCATGGCGACACGGACCTGTCACATGAGTTTAAGTCAGGTATGACTGGTCCAATATGCCTGTCAATCAATTTGTATCTGAAGATGTTTTGGGACACGACATAAAACTTGATCATTCTAGGATATGTAGGCTATAAGTTCAATGAAGACATAGCTTTCAGTTGAGACAGTTAACAATTCTTTCCATTGTCTTAACATTATTAACTGGAAATAAATATATATATGGTCAATAAGCTCATTCTGTCACGGTCATTGACAGTCATCAGATAAGATGATATGATTAGAGTGAGTGGCATAGGTGCTGGTCTGGAGGTCACGGTTAGATGAATGTGTTTGAAGTTCCAGTTGGTGGGGTGGGTGGGTGGGTGAGTGAGTGAGAGTGAGTGAGTGAGTGAGTGAGTGAGTGAGTGAGTGAGTGAGTGAGTGAGTGAGTGAGTGAGTGAGAGAACAACATAAAAACATTTTCTAAATTTAGACAAACATCTAATTAATCATGAGCAACCTTATCAAGCTGATATCAATCTGTTTCTACCAAAAAATTATACATAAAAATTAGTCGTAAACATACAGTATCATATATCCATCCTTCAGTTCTGTCATCAACACTGTTAACTTGAACAAAACATTTGTTAAACAGCACATTTTATTTGCTCTGCGACTCAGTTTAAGTCTAGCTGTGAACTACAAGTTTAATATAAACAAACACAACAATGTTTCAGCGCTTCAAACCGAACTGCCATGACACTGACCAACTGTATGCAACACGACGGGGATCAATTCTACATGTACTAATTTCTAGGTTACATAACCTCTCCGCGCACAAGCTTACCAAGCAAGTGATAACAACGTGGTAGTCATTTATGTCCTGCCATCCCTCGAGTCAATACCAGCCCTACAGCAGAACGCAGCACGCATAGCAGAACAATGTGCATTTAAGCTTGGCATCAGTTACCAAGGTTTTGCATCTGTGGGTGCAGTGATGCAAGGAAATGAGTTGCAAAAATAAACCCTCGATGGAGCGAAGAATTCTTCGGTGATGTTGGTGGGAGCAGGCGACTGACAATGGCCAAAACCTTGGTAAATGTTATGATTCTCGCTGTGGGAGAATTTTACGTGCTGTGTTGCTGCAAAAACAGGAATTGGTTCTGTAACTTTTCATGTTGTTGTTAATATGTTGTTTGGGGACATGTAAGTTCAGGGGGAAATATATACATCATTGTTTTTTATCAACAGGTATCTCAAACAATATTCTGTGAGTGAGTGAGTGAGTGAGTGAGTGAGTGAGTGAGTGAGTGAGTGAGTGAGTGAGTGAGTGAGTGAGTGAGTGAGTGAGTGAGTGAGTGAGTGAGTGAGTGAGTGAGTGAGTGAGTGAGTGAGTGAGTGAGTGAGTGAGTGAGTGAGTGAATTTCATTCATCATTCAAAAAAGACTTCCATGGGAGATTATCACTGAGGTGAGTGGGGGAACTACATACTCATCTTCCACACGTGCCCGCAAAGGATATTGTGGACGTGTCTTGTACGTCAATCCACCCAACCAGACAATCCTAGCATCCTGGGGGCCTGTCTACCTCCAACATCCCCACAAACAGACAACCCCAGGATATTAGGGACCAGTTCTACTCCCACTTGTCCCAGTCAAGCTTAAAGTCTCTGCTCAATGGTAAATTTTCTACAATTGTAAAATTTCTTTTGGGTTCCAATGGTTCCAAGCTATTTCCGACACCAAGCCATAGTTTAAAAATATCCATAACATTATCTTGACAATGTGAAATTTGAAATAAAAGACACAAAATGATAATTCATACATATAATAGATGACAGCTATGTCTATGTTTATGACTATTTAATCATTAACAGCAAAATCAAGAATTTATGAATTATTTCCCCAGATTTAATGTCTTAAATTAAAAAATTGTCAGCAAAAGCATGAACAGAAAATATTGTGAATGAGTGAGCCAATGAGTAACAAGGAGACAAGCTGGAGACCTAATGTTTAATGACATTCCCACCAAACTCATTCATAAGATCTTAGTTCTCGCTACCACTGGACACAGACCTGAAGATAACCCAGTACATATCATGTCACAATGACCATTCATCTGACCAATCAGAACTTTCTTAACAGACAGGTAAAATATATTTTGTATTATCTATAGTTTTTTTCATTTAAATGCTCGTTTTAATCTATAACTGTGAAAATCTTGCTGTTTTTACTGTCCCTTGTTCTGAGTTAATGTGTCACAAAATTTTAATGTATAACTTGTGTTAGTCACGACATAGATGAAATACTGCCGATGTAACTTAAAGTCCTAACTCACTCACTCAGATAGTGTTGGTTGATTTGTTATTTAACGCCGCACACAGCAATATTCCAGGTATATGATGGCAGTCTGTAAATAATCAAGTCTGGATCAGACAAGCCAGTGATCAACAGCATGAGCATCCACACAATGGGATACGGTGACATGTGTTAACCATGTCAATGAGCCTGACCACCCAATCCCGTTAGTTAGATCCCTTTTTACAGCATGAACTCAGATGGGGAAAGTGACAGACCAAATGTGTTTTCTGATCATGCAGACCTGAAACGGTTAACACAACGTACTCCAAGCATCATTTACCAGTGGTATGACAAGATTACATCATTTGAAATGGAAGAGCCTTTTTGTGGGAAGTACTTCCTTTCAATCTCAGACATTCCAGAATTTTTTATGGTTCAGTTTTTACATCTCAAATCAATATTTTTCAAAGCATCGTCTGGAATGGAAGTTGTCAGTTTAAATTTAGTGCCTCAAGCTTGGGGAAGCTGAGTTCTGATTGCCGAATGTCAAGTTCATTGGTCAGAAAGTTGGTGAAAGGTAGTTCTGACAGTAGTGACAGTAATGGCATTTCCTCAGATCTCTGTTTATTGTCTGTAAGGACAAAGATATAATTATAATGAGATTGAATTACCACAGGGAGACAAGTTGAGGGTACTAGGGAACTATACTAACTGGGGACGTAGCCTTCTTGGAGATTCCCACAATGGGACAAACAAGTGGAACAGGGGACATAGCCTTCATGGAGATTCCCACAACGAGACAGGCAAGGGGTAATGGGGAAGTAGCCTTCTTGGAGATTCCCACAATGGGACAGGCAAGGGGTACTGAGGACATAGACTTCTTGGAGATTCCCACAATGAGACAGGCATGGATTACTGGGGAAGTAGCCATCTTGGAGATTCCAATAATGGGACAGGCAAGGGGTACTGGGGACATAGCCTTCTACGAGATTCCCACAATGAGACAGGCAAGGGGTACTGGGGATGTAGCCTTCTTGGAGATTCCCACAATGAGACAGGCAAGGGGTACAGGGGAAGTAGCCTTCTGGGAGATTCCCACAATGAGACAGGCAAGGGGTACTGGGGATGTAGCCTTCTTGGAGATTCCCACAATGAGACAGGCAAGGGGTACTGGGGATGTAGCCTTCTTGGAGATTCCCACAATGAGACAGGCAAGGGTACTGGGAGGGAGTAGCCTTCTTGGAGATTCCCACAATCAGACAGGCAAGGGGTACTGGGGATGTAGACTTCTTGGAGATTCCCACAATGGGACAGGCAAGGGGTACTGGGGAAGTAGCCTTCTTGGAGATTCCCACAATGAGACAGGCAAGGGGTACTGGGGATGTAGCCTTCTTGGAGATTCCCACAATGAGACAGGCAAGGGGTACTGGGGAAGTAGCCTTCTTGGAGATTCCCACAATCAGACAGGCAAGGGGTACTGGTGATGTAGACTTCTTGGAGATTCCCACAATGGGACAGGCAAGGGGTACTGAGGATGTAGCCTTCATAGAAATGTTCACAAGGCGACAGGGGAAACTGGAAAAGCTACCACAGGCTCATTACAACCAGTGAAACCACAAAATGAGCTTCACATATTTTACCAAGTTGGTGAATCGACCTTCAACCCGAAACCAACCAATGTTCACCAGCCTTCTCATCATTACAGAAATTCTTGAAAGACTGCGATCAGATGAAGGTCTTAAATCCCAAAGTCTTGTAAAGGTCCATAACTCTTTGATGCCTGACGAAATAGATCACAGCGCCTCAATTACCATGATGTCTTCTAGAGATATATCTCATTCATCACACTAAAAGTGCAGCACCACCACCCATCAGCCAGAAACCACCTTCAGTTTCTTTAGAATTAGACTGATACATTCCTAAGCCTGCGACATGAAGCAATTGCTCCGTTCCGCAACTTGATGTGCCCTATAAACTAGGGTTAGACTCTTACGGAAAAGGGTCTTACAAGACTTTTTTATACCGAGCCTTAAGAACTTTCATGGATGACACAAAAAGAAGTGCCCCCTTGTGTATACTATGCAAGATATCAAAGGGACTAACGTCATCGGCGCTTCTTATTTTCTGTTCCAGTTGTTCAAATTATTATCATTGAAAGGTCATTGTTTTTATTTTATAGGTCATTGATTTTTACTAATCTATCAGAATGAGCCTAAAACTATATATGGGTTGCTCAATATGTTTTCTTTTCATTTGGCATTCAATTATTTGGGTCAGTTTAAGAAAAAATACATGCCTCTTCTGTATAAAGGCAGATTAACACATAATCTCTGAAAATATATGTAATTTCAAAAGAAAGAAGCATCCACATGTTTATTGAAAACCAGACCAAGTCAGTCTGCGAAAATTCTAAACCTCCTTCATATGGAGGGCAGCATGAGCTGGTGGGAGAGAAAATAATATGGCTTGTGATATAAGCATTTTGACATAGTGATATGATCTATATGGGTTGGTATATTAAAAAATACATAAATAAGTGTTCGTTTGGGTTTTATCAATAATTGATAAAATTAAAATCTTCCAGCTACGGCTAATGTAGACAAAACTAATATTTCTAAAATGCTATTTGTCACCGAATGAACTCTCATTGTTTGGCATTACTATTGTTCAAAATATCAGTTTGTACTCATGCTATGAGATCGTCTCCAATAAAAAGGTGATGAAAGATAATGTATAGTATTATTTTTTACTTGAAAAAAATAAAATTGATGAGAAATGTTAAAAAATAATGCTAAAAGATAATGCCATTGTATTGCAGTACCGGTATGCATCACAATACTGATTTTAGTAACGCAATACAATATTCCAGGTAGTAACCATGCCAGCCTACGTAACCATGGTAACACGTATATGTCTTTACTTCTCTGAAGCCTTTGTCTTCTTTCAAAAAGATCTGCAGTGGCCAACGACTGCACACAATGCATGTGATCAATAATAGTTTTAAAAAGTTATTACTTATTTCAGTTGGCAGCAATTTTTTCAGTCCCACCGTTTTCAGTTTTTTGTAGATCCATCAAATATTAGCCAGTTTAGGGGATAAAAATATATTTCAACCATTTTCTTAGTGTATATATAATATTTTTTTAAACTTCAGTTAGTTGAATCAGTGGTCTGACAAATAGTGTAAGTGTTGCCTTCGGGCAGGCTTCACAAAACACAAAACAAGTACCGGGTCCTAACAAAACAGGTTATATCATGGTATGTCAGCTTGATGTTTGAGGAGCCCAAGTGAGTGAGTGAGTGACTTTAGTGTTACGTCGCACACAATATTCCAGCTATATGGCAGCGGTCTGTAAACAACTGAGTCTGGACCAGACAATCAATGATCAACAGCGTGAGCATCGATCTACACAATTGGGAACTGATGACATGTGTCAACCAAGTCAGCGAACCTGACCACCCGATCCCGTTAGTCGCCTCTTACAACAAGCATGGGTTACTGAAGGTCAATATTCTAACCCAGACCTTAACGGGTGAGGAGCCCTAGGGGGCGGTGGGGTAGCCTTGTGGTTAAAGTGTTTGATCCTCACGAAGAAGGCCCAGGTTAGATTCACAACATGGGTACAATGTGTGAAGCCCAGTTCTGGTGTTCCCTGCCGTGATATTGCTAGAATATTGCTAAAAGCGGCGTAAAACTAAACTCACTCACTCAGCGGAGTAACCCAAAGAGATGCAGGTCGGAGGAGTTAACCACTTTGGTAAAACCAACAATCATGGGCATGGGTATGTGACATTGAGCATGAACTGATGAGGTGCGTGCATCATCAGTCATGTGGAGTCGAGCTTCCAACTTCCAATCCATTTCAGTCGATTCCTACAAGGTGAATAGATTGTTAGAGACCAACTCAAACAAAGGCCATTGAGACACATACATAGCGATCTGTGTACCAATTTGATCGTCACTCCATAAAGTGATTTTAGCAATTTGACAATCGTAACTCCAATCCTTTAACACAGACTTACGACAATCATTTATTACTCAGGTTGTTTTGTACAATCGCACCCTGGGTTCAACAACAGAAAGTGATCTTAGTGATCTCACAATCATAATTCCCATATTTTAGCGCAGACTTACGACAGTCGTAGCACTTAGGTTGTCATGTACAACAACATCATTGGTTCACCTGCACAAAGTCATATTAGCGATATGATAGTTGTAAGCCCCGTACTTTACCACAGACTTACGACATTCGTAGCACTCAGGTTGTCTTGAACAATTTCACCCTTGGTTCAGCAGCATACATCACTTTGTGCTCCGATGATCGTAATTCCCACAACTTAAAATAGACAGTCAAAATGCTCACACTGCTTTATGCAACGGCACCCTTGGTTCACCCGCAGAGTGATCTTAGCGATACGATGATCGTAATTCCAATAACCCATAATAGACTTACGACAGCTACAGCATTCACATTGTTTCATACAATGGCACCCTCAGTTCACCTACACAAAGTCATCTTCATGATACAATGATCGTAACGTCCACACTTAAACATACTCAACATAGACTTATGAATGTCAGAGTGTTTAGCCAGTGGGTACAAGAAGTGAAGCTATTTCCTCGCATCCACCAATTTAGGATCTTTGAAATACTGCTGAAGGCTGTGAGATCCCAACTATTTTTTTACCATTTTTTACATAAAATATAATAATAATAACTTATGACGCCAAGGGCATATATATCACTCTTGAAACTGTCATCTCTCATTTCTTCATCTCTCAAAATATTCATGTTTGTAAACATATCCTAACTTGTCTGCCAGTTGCGTGTAAAATATTATGTTCACTTGATTAACATTTCAACATGTCAACAGAACGGAAAACTCAACAGTTCATATTGGGAAGACATGAACTGGGACACGTTTATTACCCAGCTACAATGCAAATGAGATGAAATGCAACACTTTTCAATTAAACAGTCTACACACCAGATCAGTTAAACACATGGCACACATAAACATTAAAATATCGCAAGCTACATTCTGTATCAAACTCAATGTCTGATTATTCATATCAGTCAATAATTGAAATACAGAACCATCAATATGTGAAATTAGCTGGGTGTCTGTGAAAACATGGAAACAGACGAAAGATGTCCTATTTTACCATTTTGTTTAGATTCAGTTAAATTGGTCATGTTTGTTTGATTGCCTCGTGTTTGACGAAACATTCTGCAAACATGACCAATTTATCATCAAAACAGAATGGAAAAAATAAGACATCTTTCGTCTGTTTCCATGTACCTCGGCATCATGTAAAACATTAAGCCTGGACCATACAAGGTTGTGATCCTGGTGATTGACATCATGAGCAAACTTCGGTGTAACTGTATTCCGCACTTTGTGTAACAATTGTGGAAAATAGTCACCAAACATTTTCACATGTTTCACATGAGTTGCCAGGATTCGATGGTTAGGCTCGCTGACTTGGTCGACATGTCATTGTATCCCAAATGTGTAGATCGATGCTCATGATGTCAAGCACTGGATTGTCTGGTCCAGACTCGATTATTTACAGACTGCCGGAAACTAGCCGAGTGTGGCGTTTAACAACAAAGAAAACAGAACAAACAAACAATTAGTCATGAGTTCGCACACAAAGCAAACAGTCCATGAATCGTGGCTTGATGTGGTATAAGTAGATTTAGTGTGAAAATACAAATGTCCATGTTACCATGGTAACCCACTTAACGTAGTGACCTGTCACTAAGGGTCATGTTCCTGATGTACAGTCCCTTCCAAATCAATACATTCAACACTAAAACACAGTGTGTCAATTAGGACATATGTTTCCATGCTGAGCTAGTTTACCTGTAGATTCATCCACACTAAATTAAATTTGGAACAAAATGCAGCATGAGGTTTCAGATGTTAAATTTAGCATGGTTAAATGTACACGTAAACTAGCTCTACATTGAAAACACATTATGTAGATCGCCATGCTACCATGACAAAATAGAATGTGAACTGTTCGGTGTTTTGGCAGAGATACTTAGTGAAGCACTGGCTGAGTCCAAGGTGTTCAATTTTGATTTAGATAACACTTGTATATCCTTAATAACAAAGTGTGGTACTGTATATTCTCAAACATGGTTCTCTATTTTCCTTGCATATATGTCGGTCATTGAAAGCGCAGCAGATTCTTAGTCAGCCAAAATATAGATGGAGTCCTTAAAGAAAGTAATGCAAGCCTTGCAAAATTTAATTCTACCCAATTTACCACAATTATGATGGCATGCTCATTGTGACAGTGAACATTAGGACAGGTAAAAATGTGTTTGTTTGTTTGTTTGTTTGTTTGTTTGTTGTTTAATGCTGCACTCAGCAATATTCAATCTATGTGGCGGCGCTCGCTCAGTAAATGATCGAGTCTGGACCAGACAATCCAGTGATCAACATCATGAGCATCAATCTACCCAACTGAGATGCAATGACATGTGTCAACCAAGTCAGTGAGTCTGACCACCCGATCCCATTAGTCACCTCTTACAACAAGCTTGGGCTGCTGAATACCAATTCTAACCCACATCTTCACGGGTCACCTGGAGAAAA